TTTTTTGTTGCAATCGGCTTCACCAAAAGTATATATATATATCACTCTGTTTCTCGGCTCCGTGATCTCAATTTTTTTTTATTCTTTTGGTAAATTGTGCCCTTTTTGCTTTAAAAATGATTGAATGTTGTTTCGCGGAATGTTGCTCTTATTTCCGGTGAAGGTTTTTATACGTTTAGTTAACCTGCATGGAATAGTTGTAAAACAATCAATTCGAATCAATTGTAGAATTATCAACAAGTTCTTTAAATGCGGATAAGCCTAATGTTTTTACCATAGCTGCTTTTGAAACCTAGCAGAGTAGTGAATTAAGTCAGATTTTGCACCTTCAGTGTCTTTTTGCCGAATGGGAACCCAAAGTAAACTTTCAGTTTTGTGCACGGAAAAATCTGCCTTCTTTTCGCTGGCCGAATTGCTTGTTTATCCGTAGAAACAGTAATTTTAATTGTAAAAATTCTTTTTAATTGTTTTAACTGTATTTGGTGTTTTATATTTTTCTATCTTTTTTTAAATTTTGATAAAGATATTCTGATGTTTTACGTATTTTTGCCTTGCCGCGAAGTGAGAACTGAATTAACTGAAACTGAATGAGATACTCTTATTTCTAGATTCGAGATAAGAGTTTCGAGAAATTCGAGAAAATAAGTTTAAATGAAATTCAGCAAAAAATTAGTATAATTTAATATTCCGTGCAAGGAAGTCATGTAATGTACACATCAGATTTTTTTAATTGTTTTAACTGTATTTGATGTTTTATGTTTGCCTATATTTAAAAATTTTTTATGGAGATATTTTTCGGTTTTATATATATTTTTACCTGAGAACTGAATTAATTGAATGTGAAATATATCTCTAATGAAATTCGAAGAAATGAGTTTAAATGAAATGCGGCAAAAAATGCGTATAACTTAATAAGTCGCACAAGGAACAGATTTTTTTTTTATAGTAAAGCAAAATCATGTAAAGAATGTTGTAACAGCCTCTCTATGTCACCCCTGGCATTTAAATCTTGGTATATTTCCTAGTCATAAATTTTCTTATCTTTTATAATATTGATCAAATTAACACGTTAATAATAATAATACACATTTATTTGCGGTATTTTTTTTTATTTATGATTAGTTTTAATCGCCTGTATTACTGACCACTTGCAGATTTCTTTACTCCGTTCAGTCTGTATATGTTTCTTTCTGCATGTATATTAAGCATTTAATTTATTTCTAAGGATAAACTAAATCAAAATTTAGGAAAATAACGGCATACGTAAGAATAATCGGAAATTAATCTCCTTATGCATCTAAATGCATTCTGCTGACGAACAAACCTGATGCATAACACTAATTCTTTTATTTCCTTCATTGTGATTGAGATTCAATAAATGTATTATTTTACTGAAAATTTTTCAAAGACTTTAATTGATATCTGATTTTATAAGACTTAAACAATTAAGATTTTGTGTTCCTTAAATAGTTCATAAAGAATTAATCAAGAATTTTAATCAAGAGATATTCTGTGTAATTCGAGCATTTTCTCTGGAACCTAGTTCAATGTAACTTAATTTGGTGCGATAATCTTTGCAATGTTTTCCTTTCTAATATATATTATTATTAAAACAGATTTCTGATTTCAAAAGACATTATATAATTATGAAATAAGCAGATTAGTTAAATTATTAAAGGATTTTAATTACGTATATACGTAAAACAGCATTATTTGGCTTCAATCACACATTATCGAAAAATCTTTGAGTGACTGAACGTAATGTGCTTCTTCAGCTACAGCTAAATGAAGGACAATATTACAAAGAGGAAAAAAGTGTCAGCGAAATTTTAAGAACTTAACAGTAACTAACAATCACACCCTCTGTGATAAAGGAAATAAGTAAAATAATGAAAGGAAACGAGACAAGTAATGCCATCTAGGCATGAAAAATGGAAGCAGATAAAGAGCCGATGCCTTCATAGGCTGAAAAGAATTATGGATTAGAATTTTAATCACTGACTAGACATGATATCTGTAGAAATTTTTATGGCTATTGAAATCCTCAAAAATATAATTTATTAACTAAGGAAGCTGAAATATGATTTTGCGGGAAGATAAAATTAAATTTATATTTTGCAGACCAACAGTAATAAATGATTTATTTGTTTATTTCATTTTAAATTAACTTCAAAATCTTTCACGCAAAATTTATGGGCACTTTTGATTTGACTAAAATATATTAAATACTATGAATTCCCGATAATTTGTGTCAAATATTGCGACTTAAAAATCGGATTCTATATTTTATCAACAGGAACAAAAGTTATACCAACAACTGGCAACAGGAAAGAAAGGAAGAAGGATTGAATTGTAAATGCAAATTGAAGTAGAAGAATATAACAGTAGAAAATTGCAGTATAGTTCAGACCGAAGTAGAAACTGAAGGAGAAAAAATCTTCTTACTGGAATAGGTACTATTTTAAACATATAGTCAATAATCTGAGATGAGAAATTTCTATCTATTGCAGTTGTTCTCAGCCATTTAAAATAACCAAATTGCATTTGCGAGTATATAAGAGATAAAAAAGTTTCGCGTAAAATCTATACATTAACAAATACCGTATTTTTCTACTTAATGTCATTTTTTAAATACCATAATACTCATAGTACTCATTTAATTGACGAATATCTATCCAGAAATGTACTTTTATTTCTGTTTAAATTAACATTGATTGAGTTTCTTTTTCGCTGCGGCGCCTTCGATTTGAAATTTCTTGAGATGATTGGGAGATGAGTCCAAGGATACATATACATAAATTCAGAAGTTCCCCAGTGATATAAAATTATTTATATTCTTAGCAGTTTAAAAGAACTATATTTCGATCTATCTATAAACTATCAAAAATCAAAAATCGTATTTAAAAAGTTTGAAAGTTAACGTTTCATGATATACACACGCAATTATTCACGTTACCAAACGAAAACAAGAAAATTCATAAGAAAAACGCTTTGCCAGATTCTCCAGACTTATTGAAATAATAAAATTATTTAGTTAAAAATATCATAAAAAAGGGGGTAAAACAGCATCGTTAATTTGCCCTTTAAAACATTGACTTCAGGTGTGGTAGACAATAACTTCCGGTTTGTCGTTTTTCAGAAAATCTGCTGTAATTTCCACTTCTAATCATCATATCAAGAAAAGAAAAGTTGGTTATATTAGCTACGAATGTGGATTTTAAAACAGTTAAATAAAATAAAAATGAGATTTTTAGCGGCTTTTTGAACGAAGTCGGTTAAAAAATCACAATCGTATTACCCTTAAGAAAGGCATCTCAATTACTTTAAAAGAATAATGAATTTTTTACATTATGTTTTCCTTCTAAATTAATATTGTGAAGTAGTACTTTTAACTACCGGCTCTTTATTAACTTGTTAGCTGGACTCTCTAACTTCTTATACATCAAGAAAATGCACCTGAAATGCAATAATTTCTTACATCTTCTCTAACTTAAAGATGACTAAAAAGAAGCAAGGGACCCAGTCCACAAATCTAGGTGATGTTGAAATACGGTTCACTACATTTTTATTTCGGAAGCCATGCCAGAAATCGTTAAAGCTTTTGGTATGGAAACAGAAAAAATTCAATTATGTCTGGCTTCAAAGCACGAGTCTTTGAATCACTATAGTCTGTTATTTTAAAACAGGCACTTCAAGGTCGTTGCTGGCCCCTCCGTTTGCGATGCTAATGCGTCATCACCGACGTACAGCAATTATTTTCCCCACTTCACCTGAGACTGGAGTTCAAGTGAGGCTTCTATCGCTCGTTTACCGTGACGCAGAAACACGTTAAATGAAAATGGAGGAAAAAATAATAGGCGACTTAAAATATCTGCTGCAGCTACAGTTCCCATGGTTACAAGGAAAATCGAGTGGCATAAAATGTCCTTGAAGTTTTTATTTTATGTAACAGATTATAACTGGAGGTGCAACCAATTTCCGCCGGAAAGCATATGCGGGGATTACGGTAGTTCCTTATACAGTAATAAATAAAAAATTCAATATACAATTGAAGTAATTTTCTTTACTCATCAAGTTTATATTGCTCTTCATTCTTAACTACACATGGAAAAATTTCATTTATCTCGTAGTACTCGAATAACATTTCTAAACAATATTTTAAATGCTTTCGATTAGGATTTTAGACCTGTATTCTTATATTCAGAAACTTTTTTTGACATAAAATTTGGAACAAAGAATATAATGCTCAACTAGAACTGCAGTCTGTACTGATTTCGTGCATTAACTTCGTAGAAATACTAACAGGTAATTAATTAAAAATAACGAGACATTTCAGATATTCTTACCCTAGAAAGTTATCTATTTATGAAAATCTTCAAGTACAACTTTGTAATATCTTTAAAAGCTGTACTTAGAAATATTAATTAGGCTTAATAGAATACAAAAATTAATTAAAATTCTTTTGTTTAATTATTATATAAAAATAAAGCATGGACATGTATATGTGCTGTAACCACAAATCATTTGTTATTCTCGTTATTAGTATACAAGAGCTCCCGAAAGTTAAAATTTGCCACATTTTTTAGGTTTCAGAAATATTTGATAGTCGATGTATTATCATTATTTTTTTCCAAAAAAATTCAAAAAAAAAAAAAAAATCGAATTTTCAATGAAATGCGTAATTCTACCAAATTTAATTGAATTAATTAACTGTAAAGATTTCACAGATTTTTAAACAGAAGAGCGTTCCAAATAAATTGGTAAAATACTTTCAGTGGTTTAGCTGGCCTGTTTTAGCTATTTTCGATTGCTCACGTGTTGCAGTAAGTATATTTCAATCCATTAAAAACATTAGCTGTTAGATTTAATTTCTTATTATTCCGTTAGGTTTTAGAATGTAATATTGAAACCATTTCCTCCAGTTTATTTTTACTCAAGCTGTTCTTTGGGGAATTGAAAAAAAACTTTTTTAAGAACAAACTTTCAAATCATCCACATACCTGCAACTGCACTGACGACGAAGGCACACAATAATACTAACTTTCGATGAGAAGCCATGGTAGATGCGAATTCACAGCAACTGCATTCCTTCAGTAAAGTCGCTCCACACAGAGCTGACCCAAGAATGCTTGTGGCGAATTCGTAATCACTATCCCGTTTTATGGGTGACCCCTGAGATCCAGAGTCCACAACAGCAACGAAGGCGATTTTTCGCAGGATTTGACCTCTGCAGTTGAAGGTCTTCTCTCAACAGCTCTAGAGAAATGATAAGATTACGTCTACTAATATGCAGGTCCTTTACTTAAATTTCTCAACATTTTCCCAAAGACACGATGCTGTTTTCCGACCTAAACGACAGACTACTAGATACAACTACATATTCTTTTACATGTCGTCAATCCACTTTTCTACCAGTACACTTGTTCTTATAATTTATTCTTTGTATATTTTGCATCTTTAAACAAGCACGCGACCTTAAATCGTTCCAGTAAAAGCTGCATGAAGTGTTGTTATTGGAGTGATAACAGATCCTGATTACCTAAAGATTGTAAATTTTCAAGCATTTTCGGCTAATGGACGCAGTCTATAGTTTACATTCTTTATATTTAAATCATATCTATAACGAATATCAGAATGGGTTATCTTTTGAATCACTGAAAAATTTACTTTTAATATTTTGCATTAGATTAAAAAATCAGCAGTCTTTAAAAACACAAGTATGTAATGTAAACACAACTTAATATGTAAAAAAAAAAATCTCTGAGATAGCTGCTTTTATCACTCGTGTTAAAAAACACCTTTATTTTTAAATTCCTACTATTAGCTCACATTCTCCCTATATCTTGTTCAAATTTTCAATCGTTAATAAAATACATTTTATTCATCCACTCAAGTTCAAATACACTTTTTTTAACTTGTAGTAGATGACACTTGATGTTAATACAGTTTTTTACATATTAAAGGTGATAAAAATTTAAATTTCATATATTTAAAATTTCACATATTAAGACTTAAAAATTATGACCGTTTATTAGGAATTCTCACGTGTTGTAAAAATTAATTTTATAACAAATCTTTTTATATATATAAGCGACTAAAGTGTGTGTCGCCGATTGTTTATTGTTGCCACTCAGAAAAATTAGCGCAGAAATTAACGTTTCCGCAGTTTTTAATTAATATCTTAACCGATTAAAGTCGTACGAAGATGAGAACGGTATCGATGGATTCGGAGAAGTTTTTAGAATCCGAGGATACGCGTCTCGAATTTCAACTCGACGCCGTTCCGTAGATATTCAAGAAAAAAGAATTTGGCACGTAGCCAAATCCCTTTAATAGGGAAAACCCAAGAAAGAAAGTGGAAAATGTCGGGAAAACGTAGGGAAATATTAGTTTTTAATTAATATCTCGGCTAATTAAAGTCCCAAGAAAACGCGAATGGTAAAAATGGCGTGCCACGGACCTGCGAAATGCACGGCGTGCTTTGCTAGGCCCGGGAAGCAGCCGTTTCAGAGGAGAAAAGTTACTTCACCTCATATATATATATGCGGCTTAAATGTCTGTTTGTTGCCGATAGTTTATTGGTTGCTTGAGTAACTATACTAGCCAATGGGGCGAAGTTGCCAGGGCACAGGGTTGCCGTTTCAGTTGAGACGTAGACAATTTCCTGTAAAACTTGCCTTTGCTATGACCATCCATAAGTCGCGGTGCCAAACGCTTAAGCGTGTTGGCATTTTTTTACCTGAGCCTGCATTTTGGACACGGTCAAGTTTATGTTGCCTGTTCAAGAGATCTTGAAAGAACAGATGTAAAATTTAAAATAATTGATGCAAGGCGAGCTTAAAAATGATGGAAAGATCTACACAAGAATGTTGTGCACAAAGAGATATTTGACATGTGAATTAACATTTTATTATTTAAATCACCTTTTATTGATTGAGCTAGCGTGGCTCTTAAGAAATGTACCGCCATTGGTTTCCTTCATTACACTCTACTTTAAGCAATTAAGCAAGTAGAAGAGGAAAACCCCGTGGGGCAGTAAGCAAAGGGGCGTCCTCGCTGCCTGATCTGGGTAATTCAGTTTGAAGTAGCAGATAACTTTGCACAAATCCTTTTAATTACAATTTATAATATCTAGAACAGCGATCATTTCGCAAGACCGCCGGGCTTTCTAGTTATAAATAATCGTACCTGACTGTGATAAATGGGATTGTAATGTTAAACAAAAATAAGTGGCAACAATAAGACAGAGTTCTAAAAATTTTTAAAGTGTATGGAATTAAAGAATTATAGTTTTATAAAGTTAAATGGAGCTGATGTAATGTCCCATTACGTAGCAAAAATTCTCATTAGTAGGAATTGCCTTTAAGAAACGTTTTTTATATTACTTGCTTGAATCATAGGAATCAACAATTTGTTATGTTAATTAAAACAGCAGTCTATTTATTTAGGCTTTAGATTCGTCAGCTTCTGCCAAAATGCAAATTAGTCAGAGCATAAATAAGCTCAGATTTCTAAAGTTTCTTGAAAGAATTTGGCAGCATAGGCTGACTGTTACTTGAATTAGTTTCCCTGCCGTTTAATTCTAAATCACTGGATTAAGCTTCTGCTAGCCGCTATTACTTTGAAAACACTTACGGTTTTATTAGATCTATTGACGAGGTACAAAATAAAAAAAATTTCTGAGAAACGCATTTCTTCCAGCACGAGTTTGAAAGGGAGGCTTTTAATGGCGACATTTGCGTTCAACGATCCGTTTCACATACGTAACCGCAATATTTTACTACTCTAGGCAGGAAGGAATAGAATAGCTAGCTCTCTCGTGCTTAGGAACCAGTCAGAGGAAGATTTCCTACTTCTCAGAAGTCTTCTTTCTTATTTTGGGAAAGAAAGTATTTCTCAGAAAGGTTTCTTATTGGATTTTACGTTGATAGGTCTAATAATTAGGAGTCATGCATGACTCTACCCCAATTATTAGTTAAATATGTTATTCGTTAACATTAGTTAAACATGATTTTGAATGCAGTTTAACCTCTTCGTCATCCGTATCGCGTCTAGCGCGTTCAAGTGAAACTTCCGCAGGGCGGCCATAATGCGCTTCAAGCGTTCTTCTACATTTTAAAACTTTTAAACGTTTGAAACGCTTTCTAAATGTTTATTTGCTTGGGTTTTTATTTTTGTTTGTTCTGTTACCTCCTAGAGGGTAGCACTAATCAGGAATTCTATTTCTAATTGAATTTGCCCCAGGTTTTATGAATATTCGCGCCATTTTACATAAGAAACAAGAGAGTGAGAGATGGCTTCAACGTCTACTCAGCAGAAAAAGAGAGAAAAAGAGAAAAAATGAAGTTGTGAATTGGATAGACAAGAACGATATACGTTTGATGAGTATCGTCCATAATAACTCGATGATTGATTTTGGAACACGGAAAAGAACTGTAAAAAACTAATAATTGTAAAAGATCGCAACAACAAAATGGGGAGTGGAGCGCCTGAATCAGATATTATCAAATTATCCTGCTGTTAGAAATAAGCAGAGATATTACTATTTTTCCATTATGCTTTATTTCCTTATAATTTTACTTAATATTCATTGAGATTTATCCACTACAAATTTATGATGTACAGAGAAAACAACATTACACGCTACGAAAAACAGACGGCCGCTGGGGGGAAATTTTCGCGGACAGATGATGACGGCGAAAGGGTTAATAAGAGCGTGAATTATGGTTATCCGCAAGTTAGCGTAGGTTCGTTTCTACTGAAATTCAAAGTTTCTGCTACCGTTTGGTTGATGTCTAATAAATCGCTTTTATTTTAAACCAGGGATTCTCAAGCTGTGGTACGCAGGAGTAAAATAGGTGGTATGCAAAGAAAAAAAGTATTTTTAACGATTAAATTCAAAAATTAAATACTCTAACATCCTGTTTAAGTTTTCTGTCTAACACTCGCAAATTTATGCCATCTGAGCTTTGTTCAAGGTCAATAGCCGCACGTAGACATAATCAAAATAATCCGTTTTTTTTCCACAAGTATTCTTTTAGACGTAGACGTAACAAAATTTGTCTTGTTTCTAAAAGGAGTAATAGAAATGGATATTTTATTAAATATGAAATAAAAATAAGTTCCTATAAAAATATAATAGTATCTCATTAATTCTTTTAGAGCTGATCAATTTATTAGCATGTTTACGCTTTATATCGGGGTGATTTCCGGTCTCATGTATCTCTATTTTCAATTAGAATCATGATTACATTACTCTGTTTTCAGTTAGAATTACTTTTTGCGTCGATTTGCTGTCCCTAACAACATGTATTTGTTTTCTTGTTGCTTTCTATTCCTTATCTTTCTCTACGCGATTTCAGGACATCGTCGTTTGTTTTTGAAGATCTCATAATATATTTTGCATTTAAATGCTTGTGAAAAAATAATAAAACAAGCCTAGATTTTCAAGATGGAAAAATGGTTAGGATTGACTAAGCGGAAAAGTGATAATTCACAGATGATGGATACGGGACAATCGACTAGTTCTAAGAATATTCAAAAGGAAAGAAAAATTGTTTATAGAAAATATAATGAAAGTTACCATATTTACGCGAATCTAATGCGCATTGTTTTTGGCCAAATGTAGTATTCAAAATTGGGGTGCGCAATAGATTCGAGTGCAAAGTTCGCCGATGATGTCAACCAAATTTCTCGACTACATTTACCGTTACATTTATCGTTGACACATTATTGCATAGAGGATACAAACTGCAGAGTACGTAGTCACGAAATGGAGGGCAAACAGAGAAGAATGTCATATGACGCTACTTTCAAACGTAAAGTAATTCTTTATGCTGAAAAAAAATGGCAATAGAAAGGCAGGGAGAGAGTTAAACGTAGCTGAGAGCAATGTTCGCTTGTGGCGGCAACAGAAATTGGCACTGTTTGCAACTAAAGCTAGTAGAAAGAAATTCACTGGCCCTCGCAAAGGAAGACACCCTAAAATTGAAGAAAAAGTTTTGGAATTTTTACGTGAAAGGAGGAAGAATCGACAACCTGTGACTAGTGACACCATAAGAAATAAAGCAAAAGAGGAGGCTGAAGATCTTGGAATACCGAAACAAGAGTTTAAGGCTAGCCGTGGATGGGTGGATCGATTTATGAAGCGGATGGGTTTATCTCTAAGACGCCGTACAACAATATGCCAAAAGCTTCCTGCAGATTATGAGGGAAAACTACTAACATTTCAGCGGTAT